GCCTGGGTGGCTTAGTCGGTTAAGCGTCCGACTTTCGCTTGGGTCATGATCTCGCGGTTCGTGGGTTCGAGCCCCGCGTCGGGTTCTGTGCTGACTGCCAGCTCAGAGCCTGGAGCCTGTTTCAGTCTGTGACTCCCTCTCTCTCTGACCCTCCCCTGCTCGCGCTGTCTCTCTCTCCTAGAAATAAATAAAACATTTAAAAAAAAAAAAAGAAAACAATAATAAAAATGTTTTTAAATTATAAAGAATTACATACAAAATGTAACATAATTTTATTTTACTGTGTTAGCTTTACATGGGTAAAAGTAATGAGTTGATTAAGAATTTATCTAAGGCCAAAAGTTAATGTAGTCTAGATTTGAGACTACAGTTAAACAGGAAAAAAACAGCCCTAAATATTTATGCATCCAACAATAGGGACTCAATATTTAATTGAAAGCTGATATGATTCAAAGAACAAATTTATGATTATATATGGAATTTTTAATTAATATTTTCTCAGGCATTAATATAACAAATCCAATGTTAGTAAATATACAGTATATTTCAGAATACAGAGAGATAAATTGTTCTCATTTCCATATGAAAACTCTATGTCTAGCACTAACAGTCCACATTCTTATAAAGTATATATAGAGCAATTACTGAAATAAAACATATCTTGGGCTGTAAAGGAAGTAACAATAAATTTCAAAGAACACATTCATACAGTTTTTCTGATCACAGTGAAACCTAGGTAGATAAGAATTTGTGAAAGGTAAGAAAATCCTCAAAGATCTGAAAATTGAACACTATATTCCTAAATAACAAGTTTTCCATGAGTAATATTATAGTGGAATTAGGAAATAATTGAACCGTATACAAATGAAAATATGACATATCAACATTTCTGGAATACAGAAATGATCAAATAGAATTTTAGCATTAAATGCATATAAGGAAAAGAGAGGAGCTATAACCCATTCTTTAAGCATTGACCTCAAGAATCTACATAAGGAACACTGTACTATGCTAGAGAAAACAGAAGAAATAAAATAAAGAGCAGAATCAATAAATGTTAAGAAGATAGAAAGAGAATTGATGAAGCCATGTTACTCCTTTGAAAAGATTAATAAGACTGATAATCCTTGTTAGCAAAACTAATCTAATCTAATCACTAAAAAATGTGTGAGAGATTGGAGGACTACAAATTACCAATGATGCTAGAAATTAAAGGAGGCCCATCAATCTAGATACCATGGATATTTTTTAAAAAACAATAATTGATTGTCAACATATAGCATGATAAACCTCAAAACTGAGCTTAAATTATTTAAAAACCAAATTGCCAGAATATATGAAGGAGTGAATAAAACGTTTCAGTAGCTCTATATCTATTAGCTAAACATAATCAGTAACTAAAAACTTACCTGAAGGGAAAATTTCAAGCCCAGTTGCCTTCCCAAGAAAATGCTTTCAAATATCTTAACATCAAGCTTACACAAAACTTTCAAATAATACAAAAAAAAATATGCCATAATCTTGATAACACAACCTAATATTACAAAAAGTCAAGGTAAAGGGCTTTCTATCACTACCGTAGATGAAAAACCTCTAAATAAAATATTAGCAAATCAGTGATGTAAAAAAGATAATTTTTCATGATCATGAGTTTTATTCCAATTATCAACTTCATTTAATATTCAAACTTTAACTAATATTAGTTAATATCACATCAGAATAAACCACATGACCTCTTTATATTATAAAAAAAAGATTGATAAAATTGAGAGCTACTTATAGTTTTTTAAAAAATCATACCACGTTTACAAGTATGTTATATTCTTCCTGTTCCAGTCATGGGTATTTACAAAAGAAAAATTATAGCAAATCATATTTAATAGTGAAATATGCAATGCTCTCTTCCTAAGACCTAAAAAGCTACTATAATAATTGACCACTTATATTCAGTATTGTATCAGGGGCCCATTCTGGTATAATAAGATCTTTCACACCAGGAAAGGAAAAAAAAAAACCTATAATAATTGAAAAGGAAAAAAGTCATTTTCTAAGATATATTTACAAGTAGAAAATTAAAAATAATTGATCAACTATAGAGATAATAATTAAATTTAGCAAGATCACAGGATATAAAATCAATATAAAACAAGTCTCTTACTTTTTTAGACAAACCATAAATATAAATACATTTCAGAAATAATAATATCATTTTTTAGGAATTCAGAAAATTCTTTTTTTGAAAAATTACAAGATGATTCTAAAATTTTATCAAAACTTAAGACCAAAAATACCCACAATTATCTTGAAGAAAAACAAAGTTGAAAATCTGCAGAATAAGAACTCTGACTTTCCATAAACTTACACTAATTAAGACAGTATGATAATGACATAAAATTTACAAAGATAGACAAATATATCAATAGGAAAGAGTTCATGTAAACTCACACACATGTGGTCATTGACTCAAGATAAGGGCATCAATGTAATCTAGTGGGAAAAGGATGGCCCTTTGAAAAATGATGCCATATTAATTTATATATCTGTTTGGAAATCCCTACCTGACACCATACACAAAAATTAACTAAGGTGAATCATAGACATATATGTAAAAGATAAAACAATGAATCTCCTGGAAGAAAACATGAGACACTATTCATGACTATGAGGTAGAAAAACATTTCTTTAAAATAACAAAGAAGAGTTATTCATAAAAAGAAAAACCTACAAATTGGACTTTATTAAAATTAGTAATTTCTTCTCATCAGAATACATCAATAAGAGAGCAAAAAGTAAATTTCAGCCTCCAACGTATGCAAAAAAACTTCTAAAAATCAATAAAATGTGCACCAAAATTTGAAGTGAGGCTTCATGAAGGAAAATATCCAAATATCCCTTGACACATACTCATGTGCTCAGTATCCTTAAACAGGAAAATGCAAATTAAATCCACAGTAAATCCATCTAACACTTACTAAAATGACTAAAGTGATTTTTTAAGGAACCTTCTAATACCAAATGTAAAGAAGGATATAGAACCACTGAAACTCTCAAGCATTGCCATTAGGTGTAAACAGTGGCATAACTACTTTTCAAACCTGTTTTCCTTCAAACCTGAAGCTGAACATAAGCATCTCCTATGATGCAGTAATTTCATTCTGAGGTATATGCCTAAGGTAGTGAGTGTATATGTAATTTTAAAGATATGTACAGAATTTCTTTATGATTTTTTAAAACTTTAATTTTTTATTGGGGAATAATTGACATACATTATGTTCACATATACAATATAATGATGTGATACTTGTGTATTTAGCAGCATGATCGCTGCAAATCTATTTAACATCTGTCATCATATAGTTTCATACTTTTTTCTCATGTTGAGAACTTTTAGTATTATAGCAACTTTCAAATACACGATGCAGTATTATTAACTATAGTCACCATGCTGTACATTATACCCTAATGATTTATAAATCCTATAACTGAAAGTTTCTGCGTTTTGACTTCCTTCATCCATTTAGTCCACCCCCACCCACCGCCTGCTTCTGGCAAACACCAATCTGTTCTCTGTATCTATGAACTTGAGTCTTTTTCACATGAAGTCTGGGCACTTTTCAAAGGGCTTCTTCTGCTCTGGGCCCTGGGACAGGTGAATCCAAGAACACGGCCTTTCAATAGCCATGCCTCGGTTTGTCACAGCTCACACGTGTTGCAAGTGTGGGCCACTGGTCTTCAGTTTTCAGGGCTTGTCTCTTAGATACCAGTCTTCAAAGTTGGCGTAGCTGATGCTGGTGGACTCTGCTCCTCTGGGGAGAAGTTCCCAGTTTGTGAATGCCCTTCCCATTGTGAGTCACAGGGCTGGGGGTGGGTGGGGCTTATGGTGAACTGTGTACCAGCCTTTCCTACCCACGTTTCTGTGGTTTCCCTCTTATTTGCATATGTGCTGAGCCAGGGGTTAGGTTGTTTTCAGAGGAAATCCGTACATATATAGCTGTAGATTCAATGTGTCTGTGAGAGGTGGTACACTAGGATCATCCTACCCTGCCATTTAAAACCAGAACCTATAAAGACTCGTTGAGTGTTTTCTTTTTCCTAATCGACAAAAATTGGAAACGACCTAAATGTTTATTTACATGTAAATGATAAATACATTGCGATATAGTCATGTAATCACACACAACAATGGAAATAAGCGAACTATTGTTAACATGCAACAATATGGGTAAAATCTCAAAAGTTTATATTGAGCACAAGAAGCCAGAAACTAAAGGAGTACATACTGTATGATTCTGTTTATATAAATTTAAAATATATATACATAAAAGGTGGTAAGCTGGTAGGAATTAGAATAAGGGTCACAGAAGAGTTATTTACTGTAAGGTACATAAGGGAGTTTGGCTTCCAGAATAGTTCTTTTTCTTGATGTCTGTGTTGGTTACCTTACTGTATACATATTCAGTATTTCAACAAGCTGTGCATTTAATAGTAGTGCACTTTGTATGTTAGACTTCAAAAAAAAAAAAAAGAAATAGTTTTCTATACATTACCAATGAACAATAAGAATTTGAAATTTCGAAAAATATTATCTAGAAATATTATAATTACAAATAGCTAGAAATATATCTAATGAAAGAAGGCATAAGACATCTGCATGGAAAACTATAATACAGTATTGTAAAAACATAAGTAGAACTTAGTAAAAGGATATGTTATGGCTGGGGTTGGAAGCATTAATGTCATGGAGTTGTAAATTACCCTCAAATTAACCTATAAATAGATTCAGTACAATTGCAATTCCAATCCTGGCAGGGGTTTGCTGTGTGTGTGTGTGTGTGTGTGTGTGTGTGTGTGTGTGTGTAGATGCATGTATGTGTGTGAGCGTGTGGCAATTCACTAGCTGATTCCAAACAAGATAAACAGATTTAAAGGCCCCAAAACAGACAAGATAATCCTGAAGATAAAGTCAGAATAGGATATTGTTATCAAACCCCAAGATCAAGTGAAGTTTAATATATTTCTTTATTGCTCACTTGATAGTATACAAGGAATCCTGGAGTCTGTGGTACTTTCCATCCGGTGGCTTTGTCGTTTCTTGGAGCCCCAGAATCTGCTGGTACCTCTGCCTAGGCTGAGAGATGGAGAAAGATAGAGACAGAATCAACATGTAATTTTTTTTAATGATCCAGTCCTTTGTATTTCAACTTACCCTATATTGGTCAAAAGTAGGTCTCAGGGCCTCATCTAAATGTAAATGAGACTGGAAAAGTTTTATTTCAACTCTTGAATGGGAGGGAGAACACAAATACTGGAAATCGTCAGCATTCGAATTCATAGTAGTCTATGCCATCACAATGATAATTGGGTTTTTTTCCCCCTAGGAGAAATGTTGCATCAATTAAATCTTATATCTTTTCAGGTTTTATATCACTACCACAATTTCCTAAAAACTTCAAAAGTTTGATGCTTCAAAATGGAATAGACATGGTTTGCTGATTTATCAGTTATTATGTAAACTTTCTAAGAAAACTGCTATTGCTTGAACACTAATTATGAAATTCAATTTCAGTGTAAGCTCTTTTTTGGGTGGGGGGAGGTCTACTGTTCAGAAGATCAAAAGAAAGGAATGAGAAATTTGACAAAGTACTAATAATACAAACTTTGTGGAAAATGAAGCAGAAGTCCCAAGAAGAGAAATGTTAATGCAAGTGAGCCAAGATTTATTCCGAGTCCTTCAGCAATTAAAATATTTTGCATATGAATGCCTTTGGAATATTTGCTATCCTTATTGTAAGCCTCAAATGCATCAGCTTTCATTTTCTAAACTGTAAAGAGGAAACAAACAAATGAAACTAGCTCCACTGTGTTTCATACAGATGTGTCAAGATGCTTAGACTCCCTGTTCTATTTTCCCAAACCAGATGCTTAGGGATATGCCATGACTGGATGATTTCTTTTCTATCAAGATGTTGTTTCACAGGCAGCCTGTTTCTTTATGGACCATGGATTAAAGTGACAGAGAGCCATGTGGTAATACACAAAAAAGATAGCCAAAAAAAAAAGTTATAATAAGGTAAGGAGATACTTCTAATAGGTTTTACATTTTCAGTACTTCAAGTAACACATACACATATTATTCAAAAGAGAGAGAGAAGAAATCTTATTCAAACCAGAACTGAGTTGATGTATACAAATGTTAACCTTATTTTGGTATTAATTTTTTGGACCTTGTGAGTTATGGAATTTTCTTTTGTGTGTTTACACAGCATAGTATTTGTGTTCGATTTAATTTCAGGGATAAAAAAAAAAAAACAGATTCAGAGGAGCTTTGCCTTCCAACAACCCAATGATAAAAATATATATTTAAAGGAACAGAGTTTAAAAATACAGGCCTCAGAATTATGATAGAAATTAGCACATCCTATAAAGCCTGAAAGACCCCAAAATGTTTTCTGTTGTTGTAGCAGTATTTTCCATGCTCATTATATTGCATAATAGTCCTATTCACACTCAGTGATTTTTACATTTTTCTCAATTAGACAACAATATAATGTCTGTGCAGTGTATGTCGGGAAATGGAGATGTGTTTGGGAATACTCCAGCTGACTGCCAGAGAGCTTCTGCCACTATTTCGCACATATATCTCCACCATAGCTCAGTTGTATCTTCTTGTAAAGATTTGATAGTGTACTAGTTTATAAGGAAAAGGTATTCAGCAAATTGACTTTTAGTCCAACAAATGTTAATTTTCTCTCTGTATGACTACATTGAGAAAAGCTATGTTAATGTTTGTCGAAAATCTGTTATCTAATTGTGATAGGGGCGCCTGGGTGGCTGAGTCAGTTGAGCCCGGACTTCAGGCTCAGGTCATGATCTTCTGGTCCATAGGTTCTAGCCCCACATAGGGCTCTGTGCTGACAGTTCAGAGCCTGGAGGCTACTTTGGATTCTGTGTCCCTCTCCCTCTCTGCCCCTCCCCCGCTCACACTCTGCCGGTCTCTCTCTCTGTCAAAAATAAAATTAAAAAATATTTTGATTATTTCCCAGTAATCATCATTTAATATGTTGATGCAAATAACTGAAAAAGCTTTTTAAATTTTTAATGCTATTTTATTTATTTCTGAGAGAGAGAGACAGCATGAGCAGGGGAGGGTCAGAGAGAGAGGGAGACACAGAATCTGAAGCAGGCTCCAGGCTCTGAGCTAGCTGTCAGCACAGAGCTCGACGCAGGGCTCGAACCCATGAACCGTGAGATCAGCCGAAGTCGGACGCTTAACTGACTGAGCCACCCAGGCGCCCCGAAAAAAACTGAAATCTTAAATTAATTGAAATATTCTAGGATTTATAATTTTCAATTTTCAATTACGAGTGATTTTTTTTTTTTTTACAAAAAGTGGTTATAGGGACGCCTGGGTGGCTCAGTCAGTTGGGCGGCTGACTTCGGCTCAGGTCATGATCTCACAGTTTATGGGTTTGAACTTCACGTTGGGCTCTGTGCTGACAGCTCAGAGCCTGGAGCCTGTTTCGGATTCTGTGTCTCCCTCTCTCTCTGACCCTTCCCTTCTCACACTGTCTCTCTCTCACACAAATAAATTAAAAATTAAAAAAAATAGTTATAGAATTTAGGGACAAATATCCATTAATGGGGAACAGAATTTAGTAAAACATAATGCATTCATAATTTTTTTACAAGACAGATTTTAGAAAGTTAATTAGATATATAAATTGATCCACAATATATTGAGCCTTGAAAGCATAGAAGATACCAATTTTTTGATATTCCTAGTACTTTTTTCTACCCCATATTTTGAAACATGCAATTGTTTTCTTCTGGCTCCACGCAGCTCAAAGGAGAATCATTTGATTCTGCACGGGGTGGCCAGGCATAGTTTCCTCATGTCTAACAACAGTTTTGGACATTTAATAAAGGGTGGGTTAATTAGGGTGCCTCCTGATAATAAAAATGCATGCAATTTTAAGGGAATAGTGTCTTTTTTTTTTTTTTTCACTGTAGGACCATTGTGGTGGATATGAGCTTTATGGTCCATAAGACAAGGAAATATTGAGGTGGAGTAGGGAACATGATTCTTTAGTACCACGGAAGTGAAAAATCATGACACATGTGATTGTGTCTTAAGTATTACAGGAGTGAAAAAGCATTCAATGATGAAGAAAAGTAGTCGCTTGGTGGGGGGGGGGGTGATGGGCCCAAACATACATGGAAAAGAATAGAGCTCTTTGTGATCAATTTAGGAAAGTTTCATGTAAGATCCAGAACTTAAGATCGAGTTAAGCTATGAATGAATGAAAAATCTGAAGCATTAAACACAATTTGTTAGAATTAGTGTCGACTCACTAAGAGGAATTTTGGGAATAAGAAATAAAATTTCAAAATATGAAAATAAATGAATCAATAAATTATATTGCTTATGCCAAATACTTGTACATACATTTGAATAGATTTTCAGGCTCAAGACCATTATTGCTGGAAAATTTTTGCGTGTGTGTGTTTGGAGTTTGTCTGCATTTTGTTGCTGCCATTGTTGATTTGAAATTTTTTTATTAAGGAATTTTTCAGACTTCTGGAAAAGTAAACAAAATAGTATAAAGAAACTTATGTGGCCATCAACTAACTTCAGTGATTATGACTAAGTTTGTTTTGTGTTTAACTCTGCCAACTCCCTCTTCTCAACTGCATTATTTTGAAGCAAATCTCAGAATATCCTGTTATTTGTCACTAACTTGTTCAATGTTTATGTGTGCTGAAATGCCTATGAACGATAACGTGTCAGTACCAATGAGGAAGACTAGCACCCATATATTGATTTCTAAATACAATTTTCCATTTAAACACAAGGCGATTTAAAACACCTTGTGGGAGGTAATTGATTCTGGGGAAAGGGCACAGCTTAAAAATTCAGTTTCCATAAAGTAACTGCTAAAACAAAGAAAATGATAAGGGAGAGCCCAAGAGGATCTCCACTGGTCAAATTTAGGATATTATATGATAGCAGCAGCTTCTACATCATGAAATAAAGAATCTATAAAGTGACATTGATAATACTGATAATCCATATATACTCATAAATTAAAACCTCTTTCTTACAATGGGATACCCAGTCATTAATATAGAAGAATTATGAGAATAGAAATTCACGACTTTTCTGTCATCCTTGTAATAATTAATTCAAGTAAGAATAATCAATGGATGCCAAAACTACTAAGAAACAGGATATTTATATGCATTTAAAATGTCTCTTTCACATCTAGAGTTATACTAATAAAATTTCAGAACATCAGTAACAAACACAAAGTATTAAAATAATTTGAAAGAAAGAGAGGGATTTAATCTGCAAAGAGGTACAAAATTCAAATGATGCTGGGGTCAACCCCCAAGAAAAGGGGTTGGCAATATTTTCAAAGCTCTCTCAGGGAACAGTACACTTACCAGTATCAGTTTTAATAATATCCAAGGAAATTCTAAAAGTAAAATGTCTTCATATCATGTGATTTTGGTGACATTACTAGGTAGTGATTAAGAGTATAGCCTCCAGAGAGTTGGATTGGGTTGAAATACTGTCTCAACTGATGAGTGAGCTTAGCCTTAGTAGTCAGCAACATCTTTTCCTCAATTTTCTCATCTACAAAACTGGGTAAATAATTATAATTACTTCTTATGTCTCTTGTGTATACTTAAAGAATTCATAAACATGAAGTGAATAAAATAACTGTTATGGATAATAGTCACGGCTTGTAGTAAAAGTTTAGTGCATTTTAGTACACAAAGTCCTATAGATAGATCTGTCCTACAGAGTAGGATATTTATTTAATTTTCATCTGAAACTTTAAAAATATTAGCCATATTTAAAAGTTAAATATTATTTAAAAGCTTCCTGCTTCAAAATGCATATTATATGCTCATCTTGAACTATTAAAACCATTCAACAGGGAAATGAATAGTAGAGTATTTAATCAAATAGTGGTACAATAAAATGACAACATTTTGAAGCCATTATAATGGTAACATGGTGATTTATGATTTTTTTTAATAAGGGAAAGTATATATATGTAATTCTTGGAAATGTGGTATATGTTAAAACCTTAGTATAATTTATTTTTGGATCTTGTTTGTGGTGACATTATTTTCTTTTTGCATCATGCAAATTCCAAATTTCTTATAATTTTATACATACACACAAACACATATGCATACACATTTATGAATTCTAAGAACTGTATCTCTCCTACCTGTAAGTGTTTAATGGTAAAATAATAGGCTCATCTGTGAGCCACTGCCAAGCAGATGCCTTTTCAGCATTTGCAAATTTCTGTGCCAAATTTTTAAAATGTCATATGTTAATGTGTTGGATAATTATATATTTATATGCAATGAAGGTATTAAAGCCATCTTAATTCTGTAGATTAAACTAAGTTGAGAACAAGTGATCATTATAAATAAATGGTTGATTTATTGCTAATATTCTGTCTCCATATTTCTGTCGAACATTAGTATTAGAACTCGAAGGGAAACTTTGTTTCTGTACTAAATGAAAGTCAGATATTTCCATAATATGTTCCATTTAGACCAAGTAATTTTGATTAATCATTAACTCATATCCCCTGAAACAAATTTGTATTTTAAGTTGATGTGTTGCCTAAGTGAATAGGATTATTTGTCAAATATAATAGACAACCCATCTCTGTGAAGGTGAACTCCTAGAAGATGAATCCATTTTTTAAATGAGTGATACACTCAGATTCAAAGTTATCTTCCTTTAAAATAAATCCATTTCCATTATATGGTTCACTTCTCTCAGTATCTTTTAGGACATACAGGAATTAATGGTGGTGGTGACATTTCTGTTATTGTAGTGAATATAAGTGATTTATATTTTTTTACTCAAAAAGCAGCATAACTTTGTTCAAATTTGCAGTAAAAATTATTCATTAGAAGAATTATAGTGAAATAAAAAAAAATCTCAGAAGAGGCATATGTTTCCCTGAGACTCACAAATAGTCTTTATGTCATTATCCATTTATTAAATTGGCCTATAAGTACATTCTCAAAGTTCAGATGAATGATCTGCTTGCAGTATTAATCCCCCCTGAATATGTTTAGACCAAAGCTTTATAACCTCTATTTATTATGGCAGACAATGCTACCAGAAAATATCCGCTTTTAAAATCTTATTACTGTCAAATTCTTTATCTAGACCAGTGACTTGACATTCTCGCATGAGTGAGCATTAAAGCGTTTGCCTTTTTAACCTCATGATCCTAGAGCATAAATCATTTATAACAGATTCAATTCTCTGTGTCTTTTCAGTGTTATTAGAGTCGTATCTTTCATTCTGGCCTATGTTTTCAATTTAATATATTCTAAGAACTTTCTTTTTTCTTTCCTCCCTCCCTCCCTCCTTTCCTTCCTTCCTTCCTTCCTTCCTTCTTTCCTTCCTTCCTTCCTTCTCGCTTTCCCTCTCTCTTTCTCCCTCTATATGTATATGTATAAGTTTAAAAACATATATGTGTATATATGTATAAAATACTTAAGAATATATCATATGTGTTGCAAGGTAAGAATATAGGTAAACAAAGAAGAGGATATTAACCTTGTGATGACATAAATCATGTACAATATTTTATTTCTTTTTTATATATTTTAATTTCAGACATTTTCACAAGTAACTACATGCTGAGTTAGTGCTCATGTTTCTGTTATGTCATAGCATTTGTGTTATCGTGGGAAAAATGGTTGAAAGTCTTTATTTTGCCTTGGTGCCATAAAAAAATCTCTGCATTTAAAGGAATACATACCCTTACACTTGAGAAAATAGAAAGCCTTACACAAAAGAAAATATAAAACCAGAATGAGCCAAAGCATTTTTAAAATTGAGTGGCTAATTCTCAATTTGGCTTTCATGTGAAAAATAGGTTTTGCCAAAGACAATGACTATATTTGGATGACTTAAATATAATCACTAGAAAGTATATATGTTGAGAGATGTTATATTTTATGTCTTTCTTTAATATAAAAATACTGTAGAATGTGCTCTACTAAGTGACTAAAGAAGGAAATATAATTGGACTAAACAAACAGTATCATCTATTATTATCATATATTAATATACTTCACATTATATATTTTAAGTTATTTCCTGCTTTATTATATCATAGTAAAAATGAACTTATTCTCTGATACTTGACTACTATGTGATTCACATTGTTGAAAATAGTATCTGTCTCAATTGCCCAAATAAGTCCATTTTTTCCTTCTCAATGTTTTCCCCATACAATCTATTGATGGAAAGAGATGTGTTGTTTCTTTATCTTACATTTCCATCTCCTCCACTAATATCATGTTCTTTCTTGTCTAGAGATGCATTTTTACAGTGCTTCTCTGGCAGACAGGCTCAACAGCTGCACATTAATTTCACAAAAATAAGAGTTTTAGATGATTTTTCATGAAGTTATTATAGGATATATGTACCCCAGTTTTATTTCAAGGTGGGGCTAGGGATATAGAAAAGAATGGTATAGTAACTGAAATGCTTTCCTTTCAAGCATTTCTCAACGGATCTGTGGAAAATCCTTCTTTTCTCGTAATCATGTGTGAATGAAACTCTTCAAAGAAATGTAATGTTTCATAGAATCAAAATTTCTCTTGATAGTTTTGTGCTAGGTGAGAAGTACTGAATATTTCATCAATATTGTGGATATTTGATATCATAACCAATTTTGAAAAACATGACTTGAAAAGGCAAATAACCTCTAAGTGCTTTTCTCAAATTATTTTGATGTTGTTCATATAAGATAAATAGCACTTAATACTGTCCTACAACAACAATTGCAATCTGTTTAGGTTTTATTCACAAGACTCTTTCACTTTGTATTAATGAATTGAAAATCAGTATTTCTAGGCCAAATATTTACATCAAAGTTTGTCCCAATATTCTTATGCCTATAGGATGGATATATTTGCTTGTTTGTTTGTTTGTTTCATTAAATTCAACATACTGCCGTTAATACATTAATTTATTTATTACCCAGTACTTTGTGAAAATTTACCTATGAGTAAGACATTATTCAGGCATTTCAACAAGTAACAAGATGACTACACCACCACCACCACCACCAGGGCACTCTTGACACATAGACTCTAGAACTATCTATAACAAAAGGAAATATATATGAGGCTGGCACTGCTGACCTGACACTGAAGTTGTCCCCAAGGATATTTCATTATTTTTTATATTCTCTTAGATTTGAATATTAATTTCCTTCTGTGGTTTTTGTGTATATTTCTAATATTTCGAGTGTATATGTTCTCTCTCTCTCCCTCCCTCCCTGTCTTACACACACACACACACACATACACACACAGGCCTTGCAATCTTTTTAAAAAACATTTATTTATTTTGAGAGGCCAAGTGCAAATAGGGGAGGGGCAAAGAAAGAGGGAGAGAGAATCCAAAGCAGCCTCCATGCTCAGCACAGAGCCCTATGAGGGGCTTCATCTCACATACTGTGAGATTACCTGAGACAAAACAGAGTCAAACACCTGATTGACTAAGCTACACCGACACTTCTCTTTTTAGTTCTTTACTCATTTTTTTTTTCATCCAGCATTTTTGGCAGGAGATGAGTTGATTTTTTTTTTATAACTTCTATTGTTGAAAGTCTATTTTTTATATTGTTTCTAATTTTGTACATCATTCACACTATTTTAGTAAAATGATTTCAAAACTACATTTTTGTTTCTTTTTCCCAGTTGCTTATTTCTCTTAAAAGTTTTCTTGCTGGTTGTTAATTTTATCCTATTCTCTAATGTTACTATGTTTCAATAACTTAAATGAGATAATTTCCCTCTTATGTTATTCCCTCAGCTACCTTGTCAGGTTTCATTCTTCTGGGCATGCAAACATTTGAGACTTTTTTTAAGCATGTATTTTCATAGTTTGAAAAGAGCCCTTTCTCTCTCTCTCTCTCTCTCTCTCTCTCTTTTTCTTACACACAACACTTGTACAATTATACTAAGCTTATTTGTATTGTTTGTTTTTCATTACAAATAAATCTTGGAGGTTTTTCCACATCAGCATTTATTCATATGGCTCTATTTTTTTAAGCAACATTGTTTTTCATTGTAAGCAGTGCTACAACAAATTATCTTTCTTCCACCCATTATTTTGACATTTTTGTTACTACTGAAAACAAAGAAATAAAATTGTGTATGTTTGTGAATACAAATGGAATTATATACATTGAGTAAATTACTAGCAGTGAAATTGCCAAATTATCCTATAATATGTTTCATCAGGTTCTCCAGAAATGTGGGGATGCCTGTCTCCAAATTCTCATAGGCACCAAGCATTATTAAGCTTTTAAATTTGCAACTGTATGGTCAGTAAAAAATAGAACTTCATTATTGTTTGGATTTTGAAATGTGTTAATTAAAAATAGGGTTTAGTATTTAAATGTTTTATGGATTTTCTACTTTTTTCTGCAAATTATCTACATATAAAATTTGTCTTTTAAAGTGATTTTATTTTTCAGAAAATGTATGGAGAAAAAATGCATACTTGATGTCTATGCCTAATTACTTCTCTGTTATACTTTTTTTTTGAACATAATAGGTATTAAAATAAATCTCTATATTAATTCTCCATTGCCATTTTGTTTACCATGTTTTTAGACTGTCAATATTATTTAGCTTTAGACTTTCAAAAACGCAGAGACCTTAGTAACTAACTGAAAAATAGGAAGTCAGAAGGAACAATGATTTTAAATTGCATATTATCACAAAGATAAAATTTTATTGTATTTTACAAATACTCATCACAAACCCATTTGTTTTAATGGCAATATAATTTCAGTAAGCAACTTCCATGCCTTAAGAATTAAGTATTTTATTTATGACCTTTTTTCTTTTTTTTAAAAAAAATTTTTAATGTTTTATTTATTTCTAGGAGAGAGAGAGAGAGAGAGAGAGTGAGGAGGGGAGGGTCAGAGAGAGAGGGAGACACAGACTCTGAAACAGGCTCCAGGCTCTGAGCTGGCAGTCAGCACAGAGCCCGACGCGAGGCTCGAACCCACGAACCGCGAGATCATGACCTAAGCGAAAGTCGGACGCTTAACCGACTAAGCCACCCAGGCTCCCCTATGACCTTTTTTCATCAGCCTTTTGATAAACAAGTTTTTCTGTGGCAGGTTATACCTGTCACATGTATACCATACATACCATGGATGTACATATTAAATTATGAGATGGCATGTCATAGACAAAGTAGTTTACCAAAAAGCTGTTACAGACATTCTAGTCAGCAGGAGCTTTTCCATTAAAAATATCCATTTGGATAGGTAGAACATTGGAAAGTGGAAGATTTGACATTTTTCAAACAGTCACATTTACATATCTGTCCTTAGCTATCCTTAGGCCTGGACTATGCTTCCTGATCACTTGAAAAAATTTACAGTGATTTCTTCATCACACAAAAACTTATGAGTCTATGAATATAAAACAGAAATGCTGCCAAAATAATTTCAGTTTTCTTCTTTCATTCTCATCGCAAATTGATGGATTTGTGGAATGCTTTGAGAATGCATGAGCAGGTAGAAACCATCCCTAATGGATATTTCTCACAATAGAGGATGAAAGGGTATCACTCTATCAGTGAACACAATCATAGATACAGTAGCTCAACAAAAAATGTCAATGCTAAAGATACCTTTTGTTAAGCTGTGGGGAAAGCCAAACTATTTTGGAAACCAATCCATAGGTGAAAATTGAACCAAAACTTTACACTTTCTATAGACTACAGATCAAAATAAATGATATTTTTATAATTTGTTTATATCTAAAATTAAACCTTCAGAACATAATCTGCAATATTATCTGTTACCTATAATGTATAACAATGCAAGTGTGATGTTTTTCTTCATCGATAATATAAATTAATGATGATTTTATATGGCTATATTATGAACTTGTTAATATACAAGGCAAGTTTTTTGGGGTTTTTTTGATTTTTTGTTTTGTTTTGGTTTGGTTTTTTAGTTTTGTTTTGTTCTTTACGTTTGGTGACTGAAGTTGCTTTTTTATAAATATATGCATCATTGCTATTTTAACCCCCCTAGCATTTTAAAGATATATTAAATTCAAGTTATAAATATTTGTTTTACTTGGAGATTGTCCTTTTCTCATATTAAATATATATTTCATTCATCTCAAGAAAAATAATATAAGATAGAAAACTTTAAGAGGATCAGCCAAAGACATCTATTTAATCATTAGAATCTAGTTAATTACACATTTGGTGACTGCAAAAGTCAGACAGGGTACTATACATCAGAACACGAATTGAGAAAAGCATGACCCTTTACCCTTAAGAACTTGTGAGGTTTGAAGAGATAAGCACATACATTTTGACTACACTCCACATGTAATCAAGGATAAGTAGATATCTATAAAAACTGTCATGTGAAACCAAAGAAGACTGTGTTTCACTTTGCTTTACACAAAGTTGATGATGATTTCAAGGAGGAGGTAATGCTTGATTTAGTGTGTGGACAAAGATTTTTCAGGCAAATAGAGAAATGAGACATGGGATGGCAAATCCACTGATTTCATGGAACTACTCTCTTCTCAATTTCCCTGGTAGACACTTCCTCACCCTTCACATCAGTACAGGACTCCAGGCACAAATTATCATTAGAGCACAACTTACCCACAAATATATGCTGGATTGTTTGTCCTGGAGTAAATAGTGGCACATCAGCATGAAAGTTAATGTTGAGTTCAGAATTCTTCAATATATTCTCTAAGTCTGGAGGAAAGGTAAATGTGTCATATGATCATAAAGCATGCCTCATGTTACTTTGCAGCCTACTTGAAAAATAGAAGTCATGATGTCATGATCTAAGAAGTCATGATTTAGAGGTATAGGATAAAGGAGGGAAGGAACAGATGTGCATTTTATAACCATAATTTTGGTAGCAATTTGGATACTGAATTGGAGTGGGAAAAATCAGAAGAATGAAGTTAAAAGTTATCAGGAACTTCTCTGGTTGCAAGATGATGCAAACTAAACTGTTACTAGTTTTGGATAGACATTTCATACAGTTTGAAAGCTTGTGAATTGGCATATAATTTGGTAGGTCTGGTGTGGTAGCACACTGGAATTCTATAGCAAGAAGATAGGAATTGAATTCTGATTTTGATACCTACCAACTATTAACTACTCAGTATTATAATGTCTTCAAAACTCAATTTCTTCCTTCCTAAAAATGAAATAATGCTATTTTTTATTTTAGAGATTTATCCTAAGAATTTAATAAATAAAATAATAAGTGTCTGGAATTGAGCAGATTTTCAATATAAGTTTCTTGGAACAAGAAATGAGCAAAAGAGAGGGAAAGAGGCAACTATAGCTTTGAGGTTAGAGACCATGAGAGCTTTATTTCTGATTATTTGTTATTTGCCCATTTATTGGCCTCACATTAACATCTTATTACACATCTCCTCCCATAGACTATACAAACATGCATCGAACAGCCATATAGTAAGTTCCAGAAATGCTAATGATGTATACTTCATCTACTCATTTTGCTGGGTTTCATTCTGAAAATGCTTTTTCTTTGGGAAATGTCTTCATTTTTGGCTCACATTTTCTTAGATCAAAAACTCTTTGGAGCCAACTGTTTAGATTTTGTACGTGTGTTTCCTTTGATTTTGCTTCTGCTTCTGCTAGACTTGGCAGCTGGAACTTATCCTTGAGATTTGGGTGGGAAGTTCTCTATTTTGAAGTACCATTTGGTAAATTGATCTTTTCTTCACATATGGCCAAAGCAGTTGAGTTGGAGATTAAGAGGTAGCCATTTCTGAGCTGCTTCCTTTTAGAGCTGGATTGAGCTGGATTAGGTTTTAAGCCTTTCATCTACTTCTCCTGTTAAATTCTATCAAAAGAAGCTATTAGTGAGGGACTAGAATTTACAATAGCATTACTTTATTAGCTTTGATATACAATCAAGGGCATGGTGTAGAAAAGAGGGAGGATAAGTCAGTACTGGGGCAATGAGAAGAGAAAGAACAGGATATCCAGACATTTACTTTTATTATTAAGGATAGTTGCTGAAAAAATAAATATCATATAGTAACTACTTTCCAAAAGTAATTATTTTTTTCTCATAAAGGAAATTCCTCATAAAAAAGCAAAAAGACATTTTTTGGACCATGACAAAGAGGCTTAAAATGAATGATAACATATTATGTTGTCATACACAGACACACAATAGCATGCATATTTGCAGAAGAGTTTTGGGTATGATGGTTATACATGCTTTCTTTCCCTTCTCCTGTGTCATCTCTGGCAGCTGTTTTATACTAGGGATGTCCCTCACTTTCAGTTTTCAGGAGATAGGTTTCAAATGTTTATCTTGACTTCTTTCAAATAATGTTTATTTTAGGTCAAATTTCTTTTAATTTAGAGTTAAGATCCTCAGCATCTAATTTTAATGGAAATTTCTCTCAAACCTACCAATGCTTTTCATTTATTCACTATAAAAAATGATGTAACACTTAATGTATCCAATCATGTAGTTTTGTTCCTTTATAAATCAAACATGCAAACACAATGAATAAATAAGCAGTCAGTTGGTAGATTCATGGCAATGAAAGGGGTGTAGAACATTTGTTCAGCTTGACAAGTACAAACATTTCTCTACTGATGATTTATATAAATGTCCAAGGTGTATTCATTTTACTGAGAGAAAAAAATTGCAGAAACCATAAAGTGCAAGGGAAAGTGTGTGTTATTGGAAGGTCTGATATTATATATAAGTTATAACATGAATATTTCAGAGTGACTTTGATAGTCCTACAACTGTAGTTCCTCAAAAAGAGAACCTAGAATAGTCTCTGTGATTATTTAAATACAAGTCCAACCCAAGGTTGCAATATATTATTTTTATAGTTTTCTGGTACTAGAGAGTTTAAGTAGAAATATTTCTAAGCCCATCAAATTTCTAAAACCACAATATAAAGCTTACAAAGATCTATGATATGAGAGGAATACATATGCAATCCAGTATCTTTGATCAAATTTAGGGAAGAAGAAAATTATACTTCCAATTCGAAAGCTGCTGAGAGGAAGTATCTCAATTTCTTCAATAAAAGTGCTGAAGGCACTGAAGACAAAAATATTTTCTAACTTTCAAATATGTTACAGCTATAATTTGTATTATTAATAGAATGATTGGTTCCTGAAAAACTGGGAATGACAAGATTCCTGTTTCACATAAAAACAAAGAATAATGTGTTTTGCACATGTCAACTTGGGTTCTCTGGAAAGCACAACCGAGACAAAAGTTTAGAAATACTATAGCAGTACCCAGAATTGAGGGGGAGGAGAGTGAAACAAGAAAGAAGAGAAGGGTAATAAACAAAGTTGTATGAGTTGGCCATACTGAGGACCACTGGTGCTGATTTATTTTAGATCATTATAAGGAATCTTACAGTAAGTCTTACAGTTTTCTGCCCTGGAAGCAATAAACGGGAGTTTTTATCTATTGGCTTCAATCCCTCAAAAGTCACCTGTTACCCCAAAGACCTTAAATCTCCAATACTTTTGGATTGTTCCTACCCCTTCTCTTTTAGGGCAATCTAGGTTTGTCTGTGGCTCTAGCAGTTTGGAGTTGTGGGAATTAAGTATAATTTCCTCACACTTCCTTTTCTCAATTTTTTTTTTTTGGCCTTACTTCTTACTTCTCTAGTCATGGGACAGGGGGAAGCATAAGAAAAAGTTATGTCTACTCATTTAATTGAATAAGGTTTTAATCCCCTCCTTGGTTGACTCATGTCTTAGGGCTAGATGCGGCAGAAAATGGCTCATTCCTATACAAACCCCTAGAATTTGATTCTTTCTTATGTTACCTGGCAGTCCCTTTCATTTGACCCATGGCTTTCAGCCTGTACACAACAGCTTTGTACAGTCCACACATCCATACTAACATTGTTTGGACAAGATGAAAATCCCTGATCTCATGTACTTTCTTCAGTCCTTGAACTTTATTTAAGACCCATCATTTTTATCACTGTCAGGCCATGAGAAGTGCTGGGGTTGGGGTACCTGGGTTATTCAGATGGTGAAGCCTCCAACTCTTAATTTTGGCTCATGTCATGATCTCTCATGGTCGATCAGTATTTCTCAAGGTCGGTGGTGGGATCGAGCCAAGCGTGTCATGTGGCTCTCTGCTAAGTGTGGAGCCTGTTTAGGATTCTCTCTCTCCCTCTGCCCCTCCCCCACTCATTCTCTCTCTCTCTCTCTCTCTCTCTCTCTCTTTCTCTCTCTTCTCTGTCTGTCTTTCTCTCAAAAGAAAAAAAAAAAGAATAAATAATGTACATTAAAAAAAGAGGAGGAAGTACAAGAATCAGTGTAGCATTTTTGCCTTTTCTGTGTGTGGAGGTTCTCAATCATATGTCTTGCCAAGATTTAAAGAATTAGTGAAATGGATGATGGGTTAGGCTACACAGATCACCCTCAAGACTGAAGAACTTATTTCTGCAACTGCTGAGGTTGTTACTGGAAAGTGCTCAGCCTTCTTAGGAATTTTCTGGTTAAATGCTTTGCCCAGAGTTACACCTGCCCCCAGGTGCAGCCTACATTCAGTAACTTCACATAGTGCAGGTATAAAGGTATGGCCCTTCAAATTAATTTAGGTCTCCTCTGAAGAGCCTTCCAAATCTAGAACTTTCTGTAGGGTCAGTTGGGTTCTTCACTGTAACCATCTTGTACCACAAATCAACGTCTCTCTCTACGCATTCTTAATTCCTTGCCCTTATTTCCATAAATGTTGATTTCAGTTGTGCTTCCTAATAAACATCCTTTTATTCTGCAAAACTTGACTTGAGGAAGATGGCAAGCACTCCTCCACTCTAGAGCGTAGGAAATATCCTTTTCCCAGAACACTGTACTACCACAAAGAGACAACCTTCTCTTTGGCATGCTGGTAGAGGCAGGCTAGTGAACTTAGTGCCAGTTTTGTAGGTCTTAAGAAGTCTCTCGGAGTGGGGATTGTTTGTCATTTCTAGGGCTCTCTGAACATAGAATGGGGGTTGGGGTAATTTCCTTCTTTTATCCTCAAGAAAAGCTATTGTGTTAGTTCCCGTTAGCAGAACAATAGGAAAACTCTCAATATCTGGTTACCTTTGGTTTATTTTTCTCTTCATTATGAGGGCACCAGCTCTTCAATGCAAGTTTATTTGTTTTTCTTTTTCAGGACAGCAAAAAAAAATTACTTTCATTACAATTATGACACTACAACAGCCAATTAAAATGAGCATAAGTTACCTAATGCATGATTTAAAAAATGTTCAACACGTATTAACATTTAAGTGTTTGTGTATTTAATAGTAATCACTGGCAACACAATCGAATATGTCTTAACTTTTGCTAAGCTTAAAAACTAAATCAGTTTCTCCTATTTTTCTTCAATAAGCACATAAAAATACACTCTTTCTTATGTGATCTTTCAGATTTTCATTATGACATGTTACTACTCCTTTGCTTGTACATTTAATATTATACTGCTTTGTCTTCATTTACCCTTCAGTTACTGAGGTGAAAATTCTGACCCAGAGCATACTAATTACTTGGCTTATTAGCTTCACATTATATCAGTAATGGGGTGATAGTCAGCATAATTACTACGACTTGAAAAATTATGCTTTGCTTTAATATCATGAACTCTGAGATGTTCTCTATTTTTTACAACTATTCTAAGGTTGTTAAACAGAATTTTTATATGTTTAACTTTTAAGAGAACGATATTTCAGAATATTTTCCTTTTGAAGTTCCCTTTTAACATTAGAATAAACTCTGTGTAGAATAACAAAAATAATTCAACTGGAATTTCAATAACATCTTTTATCTTTTAAACTCTATGCTTGTTTTGTGTTGATTTTCTCATTTAATAGATGATTGTATTAAATTGAGTGATTTCTTAGGTTGTTCATGTAGCCAATTTATTTTAGAAAATAATTCCCAATTCTTGCATGTTAAAAGGCATATGTAATGCAACATGCAAGTGATCAAGTTGGAACATACAACAATTCATTTCTAGCACTGATCCATCATATGGCTAGTTTGTGTCCATCAGCAATCCTCCACGTGTGCCCTTCCTGAAGCTGCATGCTTACTTATTTGAAGGGGATGAGACACAGGGCAGAAGTAACCATTCTTATCTTGTTAGAAACACCAACCCCATTTCTCTGTTTTGGGATGATGAACCATAAACAGTCAGAAATTCAGTGAAAATAAGTAACTGCCTATATTCTGTTAGATTCTTATAATGTTTATTAGCTTTTTAAATAAAACATTGAGAAAAACCCAGGGATTATATTCTAATTAGCTACTATCCCTGAACCTCACTAGGAAAGGTTATAGTTTTTGTTCATTAGAACAGGGTTTCACTGTATTGTTATAGTGACTCGTGTAAGCCACTCATGCATACATTTACTTTTACTGTTTAATATAATTAATATATTAGGTAACAATAAATCTGAAAGCTGTAACTGAATTGATCAAATGAAGAGCAAGAGAGGGGGTAAATTTTAATTTGGTAAAAGAAGCAAGTATTTCATATTTAAATATAAATAAAATTGCCAGGATTAATTAAATTAATTAAATGAATACTTATCACATGTCCATTTTGTGCAAGGCATTATTTTAGGTGTTGGAGAGATAGCATAAAGACAAAAAAAAAAAAAACAAATAAAACAAATAAGATCCTGTTAATATGGAGATTCCTTTACAATTTGGGAGTAGGAAAAGTATGGTGTGTGTGTGTGTGTGTGTGTGTGTGTGTGTGTGTATAGTCAAAGATGTACATAGAAATTTGGGAAGTGGAAAGTGATACTTGGAAGAGGAGTTGCTCTTCTAAAATAGGATCACTTAGGCAGGACTTACTCAGAAGCAATTACTGCTTAACCACTTCAAAATTCATTGGTTTAAAACAGCAATTATTATGGCTCATGAGAGTTTGGGCCAGGCAGGTAATTGTGTAGATCTGAACCACAGTCAGTTGTTCTTGGCTAGATTCACTCATGCCTCCACACTCACATGGTGGGCTGCCTCCTTCACATATCTAGATACTTTCAGGTTCTTTACTGGGTTGACAAAAATGCCTGGACCACGTATATATCATCTCAAAGGTTAACTCAAAATTGTTCCCTTGGAAGCTCGTAAAGTTTCAAAAATATGAGCAAATGCATGTGAGGTCTTGTGAAGTGCAGGATTGAAAATATCACAGAGCTGTTCCAAGAGCATTCTGTTGGTCGAAGCAAATCACAAGCCCAACTCAGATTTAAGAGGTGGGGAAGTAGATTTCCCTACTCAGTGAAGGGCCTGCAAAGAACTATTTTTCAGTGGCATGAATAGAGTCAGGGAAGAACTCATGGCCATTTTCTTTCAATCTATCACTTATGAGATTAGAGCAAAATCTGGAAGGATTAAGAATATAACCAGATCATAGACTTCTGGCTAATAAACAAAAATATAAAATTAATAGGTCACTACTTTCTGAGGGTAATTCAATATATTTCTCAAATCAAAACTGGAAAAAATATGTCTTAGGCAACATGTTTAACAATTTCAAAGTGAATTGGAAGAGAAGGCTTAAATAGGGCATTTTTCTGTACTCAGGTATTCATTTAAAATTATTCAGTGTATTTCTACTATAGATCAAGAATTCTTCCAGGCAACAGGGAATGTTCTCATATGGCAGAGAACTTTATTTACCTAATCCTTACTGTTGTTCAGGACTTCCTCTTTTCATCCATGTGGATCTCCAATGCCTCCTATCCAGAAGCTTGTCTGATTTTAATATAAAAAAAGAGACAACAAACAATAAAAAATATGTTAAATGTCATACTAGAAGAAATATAATACACAAAGGAATAGGCGATTAATCTAGTGAGGAGAGTCAAGAAAAATATCCAGAAGAAAGTATTGAGCTAAGTCCTGAGGATGAATAAAGGTTGGCAAAGCAGAGATAAGGGAACAGAAACTCACTGTCCACTAGGAACTAAAAATAACCTAATAGGCCCAGAGGTCTTGAAGACAGGGACAATGTGCCAGGAAAGTTAGTAGTCTCACACTTGTGTGTTTGTCTTTAAATGAATGTTGCTCATTTAAAGGCCATCAGTATTTTAGACCTTAAGCTTTAGTAAATATGACCATTAGGAAATTTTTTCTTTGGCATGTCATTATGACTTATGTTAGCTTTAGCAATCACTGGCTACAGAGAAATTAGCAAATAAAGGCTTGGGGGAAGAGGCAAATGGCTGCCATGGAAACCTTGGTAAACACAGTCATGGGAGCCTCATTATGTGGACCCCAACAGAAGACCTTAAGCCATGTGCTTCTTCTTGAAATTTCAATTGAGGGAGAAACAGAGGGGGCAGGGGGAAACACCCTCAGAGAGACTTTTAGATCCGGCGAAACCACACTATGGAATGGAAGACATTTTAAAAACAATATTTCCTATTTTCACTGAGATGTTCAGCCAAGTCTGCAAGCCACATCTTTAAAGGTCAAAAACACCTGAGATCCACTTGAGCTGTGGAAGACTAAGACTATCCTGGAATTAAAATGTTAGTTCAACATGTAACTAGTTGTGCTAGATTAGCAGTACACTTCTATTTCTATTAATGTTTTAAACTTTATTTGGGTCACTTAGGGCAACTTTAGCCATGTGGTGAGAAATTGACTCAGGATTTGTTAATTTTGAAGCCATGATCATTAGTTTTTATGTCAGAGCTGCATGCACAGAAGAATTTTTAAAAGGAAGTAAAAGCCTATATCCTTTTGTAAAAGTGTATTCCATTCATTTTTAAGAACTTTGGTAGAAAAATAAAACAAAAAAATTCCTAAATTACTGCAAATCCAAAAGCAGAGAAAGACATTTTATAGCCGTGTGCCTTAAATTTTCTTTCTCTGGGTATTACATTTATTCAGAAAATTAAAGAAGCACTAAATCTTCTTGGGGGAAGAATGCTTCAGTGTTAAGTATCAGAGTAATCATTAGCTAGAGAAAGTCAGAATTTTCCTTCTCAGAGAGGTTTAGATCTTAAAGGAGCTGTGAAGGAGAAAGATGAGATCTTGAGGGCATGGTGGATGAGTGCTAAAAGGAAATGGATATGCACCCAGAGCTATGTTCTTAAAGGTGGACAGTTGGACTGCTCCTGGATCAGAATTAGTGTCTGGGCCTAACACATAGAATGAAACAAAAATCAGAGAGCAGAATGAAGTGACTACAATGGAGGGAATGAAGATGAGCATTGTCTTAAAGTTGGGTAGAGTTCTTTGTCCAAGAACAATTAGGTAACAATCTCTAATTAGATCAGTAGAACTAAGTGGGTAATCATTGTATGGTCTTCCAACATTAGGTATCCATTTTAGCCCAAGAAGAAAGATGTTTTTGAGTGAGAAGGGCAGAGTTTACACATTGATTTCAAAATCTGGGGAGAGTTTACAGTTTTAGTCCCAAGTCTAAATGTTTCATTTTAATTCCTTTGATACACATAACAACCTATGAGATGGGTACTACTATCACGCTCCCTTAGTGAGAAATTTAGTAAGTTTCCCAAGTTCCCATTGCTTATAAAATGTCAGACCTGAAAGTTAAATTATGCCAATTAGGCACTAGAGCATATACTCCTACTTCACATTCTAGAGAAAGACTCTAAGCAGAAGTCTGCAGAACACTAATGTTTAAGAGATTCCAAATGGAAAGGACACGTGGTGACTTTTGATATATGCTGAAGAGACATCACACTAAAATCAATTCATGCAAATGCAAAAGGCAAGTATTACGTGCTCGAAATACATAGTCTTCCGATAACGAAATTTAATAAGGATCTTGTGATTAAATTCTTAGGCTTATGTAAAGTATTGAATAGATATCATAGTTCTTGTGTTAACTTCTCTACAGTTTTCTCTATGCCAAGGGTGTCCCAAGATAAAACAGTAAGACTGCATTTTGTAATCAGCACGAGACTAAGACTGCTCATTGAGGTAGTTCTGGGTGTTTTAGAAACTGAATAAAAAGGTTGTTACATTGGAATTTTATTATAAAAATGAATTCTCATGTCCTACATTCTTATTGAGGAGGGGCATCTCATCTTTATATATGGGTATGATGCCAGGATTTTTTCAGGAAAGGACTACATCTGCAAAACTACCAAGATTAAAATGAGTCCCAACATTTCACCATATAGAGTTTATTTTAGCCCAATATTTATAAAGGTGTTATAGCAAGTAAGTCTACCATTGTTCGTCCATTTCTAAGCAACATTGCTTTTTGCTTATATGTGCTGTATAAACTTACACTGCATTTGTTTTAGAAGTGACCTGAAACCTAAAGCCCAATAAACATCCTTCCCCCCTTATAATATGCATTCTAACCTATCATGCCTGTCAAAGTAGTTGGCAGGTGCTATATAAACATTCAGATACATAGAATCTATGAATATTTATGTGCTAAAGTTGCATTTATTTTTACATACCTTATAAATAAATAGGCAAAGACCTGTAAAAGAGAACAATTTAGTCATGTCAGGTGGTCTATAAATAAATTCATCTATGTGTGTGATATGTATTCCAAGTTAATTTAAAGAAGAATACTGAACATTTTTTTATGATGGAAAATTACATAATTAACTTTTTTAAAATTTCAATCTAAACAGTTAACTTGGTTACCTGAACAGAAATGGCTATTTTAAAATTTGTCTCCACAAACTGATTACTGCTTGCATCTGTAAAAATGATTAGAAAAACTAAGTGCTTTGTTTAAATGTCTTTTTATGCATAAAATTTAACAGTAGCTAAGCAGATAACCAACTACATGGAGGTTAGAAGGGAAGGAATTCTGTGAGAACAACACTCATGTGCAAAGAAATGTGAATCATCATTCCTGAGCTCTGTATTCCTACATAAATGGACAGAATGATCATTATCAGCTCCTTTGCATAGAAGATGATGATGATGCCAGTTCACTAATGGGATCTCTGTGTGGGATAATGAACGTTGTTTAAAAGCTAACATACATTTTTTTAAAAAATTCAAATTTATTAATGTATAGTGTAGTCTTGCTTCGGGGATAGAACCCAGTGATGGATTCATGTCTTACATATAACACCCAGTGTTCATGCCAACAAATACCCTCCTTAATGCCCATCACCCATGTAACCCATTCCCCCAACCACATCCCCTCCAGCAACCCTCAGTTTGTTCTCTGTATTTAAGAGTCTCTTATGGTTTGCCTCCCTCTCTGTTTTTATCTTATTTTTCTTTCCCTTACTCATGTTTATCTGTTGTGTTTGTCAAAGTCCACATATGATTGAAATCATATATTTGTCTTTCCCTGACTGACTTATTTTGCGTGGCATAATACCCTCTAGATCCATCCACATTGTTGCAAATGGCAAGATTTCATTCTTTTTCATTGTTGAAGACTATTCTATCATATATGTATATACGTATATATATATATATATACATATATTATATACATATAATATCTTCTTTATCCATTCAATTGATGGACATTTGAGCTCTCCTCACACCTGTCAGAATGGCTAAAATTAACAACTCAGGAAACAACAGATATTAGCAGGGATGCAGAGAAAGGGGAATATTTTTGCACTGTTGGTGTGAATACAAACTGGTGCAGCCAGTCGAGAAAACATTATGGAGCTTCCTCAAAGAGTTAAAAATAGAACTACCCTGTAACCAGCAATTGCACTAACATACTTTAAAAAAAATAGTGTTTATTTGAGAGAGAGACAGACAGACATTGTGAGCAGGGGCGGGGGAGGGGCAGAAAGAGAGGGAGAGGCAGAATCTGAAGAAGGCTCCAGATTCTCTGCTGTCAGTACAGAGCCCAATGTAGGGCAGGAACTCGTGAACTGTGAGGTCATGACCTGAGCCAAAGTCATACACTTAACAGACTTAGCCACCCACGTGCTCCGTACTAACATACTTTTTAATAAGAAAATTTAACTTCACTGTTGCCAGGGTCTAAGCCCTCTGTTTATTACGATATTTAAGGACTTTGGATTTCTATTGTAAAAGAAGACAACGATCAATCTGATTTCAGTAACCTGGGAGCTTTTATTTTCCTTATGAGGTCAGAGTATCAAATGGGAAATCAGCAAAATAACTCTTCGATTCTGACTCAAAGGTGCCTATTTCCAATGAAGACTCATGTAGGCCATGAGAAATTCCTCTACACTTTCTTCTACACCATATAGTTCAGTTTTTATCTGCCTCCAGTTATACCTGAGTTCACAGTACCCACATCATATACTGTGGATGCGGCTTATGAGGAGCGAATAATAGGCAATGACAGAATACTGTCAAATGCTGACAATCTCAACATTAACATATGTATCATTCTTCCAAGAAGTTCCTTCCTGCAACTTTCTGGATATCCTTTGTATCTTATAGCAGCTACTTTATAAACTCTACCAGATTTCATTGGATATTCCAGCAAGTGTTTCCTCCCTATGTGACAAGCATTAATATATTTTCAAATTATACACAAAATAATATAGGTGTTATTTAATATTTAATGACAGAGTAGTTGTAGTTATGAACATTTATTATGAAATTATATTCAGGCAGGAACTTCAGGCAGGAATTTCCAGTTCATGATGTTTTAAGAGAACAGCTCTTAATTTTGGTGAAACACTAACCCTAGAGACCCTGAACACAATTTTCATCACCTACAAGCCATCTAAATTAAATGTAATTTGGGAGAATTTCAACTTTTATTTTCCCAGGAAAATGATCTACAAACTTCAATAGATTTGCAAAGGGTATGTGAACTACCAAACTTAAGAAATACTAAATAAGATGTTCACAACGACATGAACAAATTTGGAACATTAATCTAAAGGCTATTGGCATAAATTTTATACTCAACCCAAAATACTTTTTATTGTCTATCTTGCTGCATGTGGTTTAGAATTTGATCAACAGGAAATTATTTCAGATAAATCCAGGAGATAAACTTTTTACCACAACTAGTAGAATGCCTGCTCAAAACGTTTTAACTTGATGATTACACAACAATTCATGATAGAAAGTAAGAAAGCTGTATTTATTGTTGTCATTGCTTATCTTTTACTGTAGGAAATCATTTTATAAAAGGAGATGAGGTGCCTTGGTTAAGAATTTGATGTA